GTGCTACTGCTTAGTTTAGTAATTCTCAATCCTTTTTAACTCAAGGCAGCCATGGGCAGACCTAGCATTTGGAAAATGAGGGTGCAGATGGTAAGGTGCATCATCACTTGCAAAACAACACATATTTTTCTCCTGTTCATTTTAAAAATAAACTAGAAGCGTTATTAATATGCTAGAAGCCTAGGGCCCTATTATCCAGTTTAAGATTTAAGCAAAAACAAATATATGTACAACTTAATTGGAATGAGGTAAAGACAGTCTGCAGGGCTGTGAAATAGGAGTTTCATTACCAGGAGCAGCTTGTTAACAGACAGCAGAATTGCAGAACAAAGTATAGCTTAACTGGTGGAATACCAAGACAATTAACAAGAAGAGAGGGTTGTTAAAACCTGTGGAATGAAGAGTTTAGAAGAGATCAGGTATATTATAATGAGCCATGAAGTCAAGTGACTCTCTCAGCAGTGCCTGACTTGAAATGCTATAGCCACTACCAGACGCTGGGTTTTAAACTTTGCGTGGAGCACGAGTCAAAGTGAGGGTGCAAATGCAAGCTTGATCAGGAAGTGCTCAGTTCCAGCATTCAAATAATGTAATAAACATATTTAACAGCATTAGACCTGCGGTTTTTTTGTGGTATGCAAATTTAGTCATTACATTCTCTGCCTGCATCCAGTTCATTAATACAAATGTTAACCACTAGCTTCCAAATGGTTCTTTGGTTAAATCTGATATCTATTATTAGACCAACTCAAATAGTTGGAAAAATTCTTCTTTGAAAGCTTTTGAGTATAAATACCCTTCATCAGGCTGAGGAAGCATCTGCAGTTGGTATGTGCTCTTCCTGGATGGAATGAATAGTAAAGAAGCCAGAGACTGGTATACATGCAAAACAGGCAGTCAGTGAAGAACATGGCTACAACCTCTACCCCTGGACTCCAAATGGAACCTCTTGAACCTGACGTACTTGATAATGGCATGTTGGATTGTGTCAAAAGCCATACTAAAATCCAGGTATCTTTTGTCCACTGACTTCCCATTATCCATACTAGTTAACTTGTCCAACCAGGGAATCAGATTGGTATGGCATGATTTGTTCTCAAGAGATCCGTATTGGCTGCTAGCAATTGCTCCATGTTGGCAAGGAGCTACATTCTAACAGTGCAAAAAGATGACACTATGGGGTTCATGTCTAGTTTATCAAAGGTTCTAACAGCACTCACATCATCATGGCATCTGAACACTTTCCAGAAATGCATTATAAAAATAGTGTGACTAGCATTTGTCCATGTTTAGTGGGTGTGTTTTTTGTTTGTTTGGGTTTTTTTGGGGAGGGGACTGCATGTCATTTACCCAGTTTAGTAGCTCAAATATTTTCTAATGATTTATGAGCAGGAAAGTACCCAGCTGAACTTTTAGCTCCCAGGATTAGGTTCTGGAATTTGCCATTAAAAAAAAAAAAGTTCTTCAAGCTGTCACTTGAGCAAATGCAATCTTCAGTAGTTGCTGGGAGGGGGTAGAGGGACAACACTAAATATAGATGTTCATTCTCTTCCCCTTTTCCTCCAAGTTTTTCTTCAGAGAAGAACCTCATTTTAAAGGACTGGCCCTAATTGCATTTGATGTCAATGGAAGTTTTATCTTTGACTTCAAAGAGTGCAGGTCCTAAATGCTGGAAGATTTTGCATTTGAAATAATTGTTCCTGGAAGTTTACAGACTGCACTTTAAACCTAATCATCACAAGTTATTTTCTACAGTGCTTCTCTCCAAATGTTTATTATGCAGTCTTAAGTATTTGAAGGATCATATTTGAATATATTTAAGGGTATTTCTATAGCTGCAAAAGCAGCTAGCTGAATGTACTGTCAACAGTATTCAAAATATAATTGGTAGCACTTTTGTATTACCCCTAAACAATTGGGAGTTTTATCAGCCGCATAACCTGGGAGCTCATCTTAGTCCTTATAGCTCTTGACAATGTCCTTACCTATTTACTCCTTTCTCTACACAAGGCAAAATATTCCTTTTCATTCTGAGTTCTTTTCATCCTGATACTTGAATAGCTTGTCCATACTCTTCGATGTTCTGCCCACAAACCAAACCCCACCAAAATGCCATTTACAATAAATGGTTCAAAGGGGTTTGTCTGCTGAGCTACTAGCAGGACGGTTATGAGTTCAAGCCTGGGTACAGACCCAGTGGCTCACCTGGGTAATGTGAGCACAAAAAACACTTTTGCCCAGAGAGGTGATGGAAGGTCTCTCCTTGGGGGTTTTCAAAACCTGACTAGACAAACTTTGGCTGGAAGGATCTGGTTGGGGCTGCTCCTGCTGGTTTCAGGTGCCTCCTGGCTCTCATTCTTCTTTAGGTTGTTTTGTATCATAGGCTGGATGGGTGGAGAGGAAAGGAGGTTCTCTCCAAAGACCTGCTGTTGCTCAGGGTGCATTGTGAGGTTTTCACGGAATGACTGTCTTTCTCTTCATACAAACATAATCATGTAGTTAACTTATTGCTGTTTCAGTAGTTCTCACTGAGGTATATGGGCAGTTATCCTTCAAACTCAAAACAGACAACCAGTTAAACTGTTTAATTCTATTTGGGCTCCTCTTGTCCCTGCAAACCCCTTACAGAGGCACAAGCCTCTTGTCCCATGTTAAGTTCCTGTGAAGAATGAATATTTTGCCTTGGAGCAATTGTAGATAATTGTATTTCATTGCCATTTAAGCCTTATGTGTAAATGAGAGTCCCACACTTTTTTTGATGCAGTCAAATCTCAGATTAATCAGACCTGGATGAAACCAGTTGTCTGTTTTTAGCCTCAGATTCTCTGCAAACTCAGGCAGATATCACTGCAGCTCCCATTTTGACTTAAAAGGGGAATGATAATTATTTTTAAAAAGATTTTGGCCTGCTGATGGTATGCAGAATCACATCCTCCACACAATGTGTATTCTAGTTATCACAGGGGTAAGGGGGATTATATCAAGTGGTCTGCTCCTTGCCTACAGCACTTCAAACCTCTAGACTCAAGCCTCTTTTTTGATTCTGAAGTACTGCTTTTTTTTGTTCTTTTCCCTTAAGCATGGAGTGATGTATTCTAGCCTCCTCCATGTTGACAGCTGAGCCAACATGATTGTAAAACAGTGGGATTTTGGCTGAAATCCCTCCACAGAGATCTTAAATCTGACTATTGAGATAAAGAAAAGTATTTTCCTAACTAGGCAGCTGTACACCTTACAAACACACAAGTCCTAGTTAAATGCTGATACAGTTGCCACATAAATAAGGATAAGCCAGCAGTTGAGTTGTACATACTTGGCTACCTTCTTGCCTTCTGTAGTGTCCCTGTCAGATATCTGGAGCTCGCGTTTTTGCCAAAATGCACACATGCATCATAGATGAATACCAGAAATACTGGAAAGATGAATACCAGATTTGGTGTGGACACAGGTAAAGGATAAAGGTGCTTATGCAAAAATAACTTCCTATAAGGGAAGGGAAATGCATGCCTTTATTGCCATTATATCTGGATAAAAGTATTTCTTTTTACTCTCCTGTAACTGCATACATGTTAGGGGTTGAACCAGTAGAACTGTACCCAGCACACAGGCTAAACTCCATAGCACAGGGTCCAGCCTGCACACCAGACTGGCTTTGTATGTTGCATACAGTGTGTGGAGTCAGTCTGAGATTCACAGGCCAAACCTGGCCTGCAGGCCATACATTTGACACCCCTGTGCTTTATACTAGTGGTCTCCAAACTTTTTTGATTGCGCACCCCTATCAGTAAAAAACTTCTGATACTTTTGATAGTATTTAGTAAAATACTAATATATTATGTATATTATAAAACATGCACAAAAATAGAAATTAAAAAAGGATGAGATAAAAATTAATATAAATAGAAGTTCTAATATTTTCTTCCCACACCCCAACGGATCATCTTGTGTGCACCCCACTTTGGAGACCACTGCTTTATACCATCTTCTTATCCTCATGCCTAGAGTCTTGAGTTTCTTCCATCTAGCCAGGCATAGATGGGAATCTGGAAGCATTTCACAGGAAGTTGCTATAGACTCAGGATTTAACCATGTCTCCTCACCATCCACCTCAAACGTCTGTCACCTGTGCTTCTTCCCTTTACTTCCCAATAGTGTTGGTACCAACACATGCCAGAGCCAGACTGTTCCCACACACCAACCAAGTTTATAATCAAGAGATTTCCTACAAGGGCTCTCCCCTCTCATGTCCACCACACTCCCAGCCAGTGACATGTCCAGTGATTATCTCCCCAAATTAGAAAGTCTTGTTTCCATTTCATAGGGAGACTCAGTGTCAGTGCCCAAAGGGTGATTGGCATCGTCTTCTTCGGCAGGTGGATCCCTCTCCTCCCCCTAAAACTCCTCCCTCAGGAGCGGGACATCTCTACTGCAGGATCAGGTGGCCAGTTCCCAGATGAATCTGCTTCACACAGATCCCTCCAGTCTCCATCACTCCTTGCCTTTTCTGCTCCACCTTCTAAGCAGCTCCTGGCAAGAGAAGGAGGACACAGGTGCAGGCAGGAGGGTGCAATTATTTGAATCACTCAAAAGCCCTGCAGCTTCCTTCCTTGACCTAGGGAAGCATGGCTTCAGCAGACACTTTGCAGGGCTGCTAGACCCATCTGCTTTTTTCACCCCTGGGTGCAGGAAGGATGATGATGGCCCACTTGCACTGAGGTGGGCTCTGAAGCTGCCAGGTCCCTGACTCCCTAGTGCCTCCAGGCTAGCAGAGGGCCCAACCCTGCTCACCAGCCCATGCAGTTGATTCACACTGAGCAAAGGTGCATTGGGGCCCGAGGAGCATACCCCACACCCACCGGGCAGTAGCGCGCAAGCTGCTGTGCCTAGAGAAACCCTGTCCGGGCCCCTGCGCTAAAGAGGCGATTTCCGTACAACATGGCGGCGCCCAGAGGCAGAACCCGGGGAACTCCTTCCCCTGAGAACCTCCGGGGACCGGAAATGTCCTTCAGATCGGCAGTTCCGGATGGGTGCGGTGGCTGCAGCGCGGAGAGTTCCGGTCGACAGAGGCTGTCGCCGTCAGGGCAGGTGAGGGGTGGAATGGGGATGGGGTTGGGGAATCTCCGGCAGCCGGGGCCGCTTGGCTCGGCCTGTCTCGCATTCACGCGCCAGAGCCCCCGGGCCCCACCTGCCCGCGCCTGGCCCGGGCTAAGCCGCCGCGGGTCCAGGAGCGGGGGCAGAGGACTGGCGCTGCGGGGAGTCGCGCGCTGCGTTCAATCCTGATCCCGCGACAAGGCCCGGGGGGGGGCCGGGTAGCACCCGCCGGAGTCGCCCATTAAGTCTCTGTGGACGCGAGCCGGCTCCGCACGGGCCCAGCCGCCTGCTCGGCCCAGGGGCTCAGTCTGCAGCGGGGGCGGACGGGGTGGGGCGCTGTGTCCCTAACACTGCACACCCTTGCGTCCAGGGCAGAAGAAACCCGAAGCAGGGCCCGGCACCAGGGGCGAGGGCCGCGGCGCTCCGGTGCAGCCAGTGCCTGAACTACGGGGGAGCGCGGGGTGGGGGCTGAGCCCCCCGTCAGAGACGAGAGTACCCCTGTAAGATTTGGATATCATAACCGGGGGCGTTGGTTGTAGCCGTGTTGGTCTAAAGGCATAGGCAGGCAGGATTATTTGGGTAGATGTGATATTTTGTATTAGTAGTTGGGGGGGGGGGCATTCTTTGCAAGCTTTTGGGTGCAATCACTCTTCATTGGGAAGGGTGATTGGACCCAAAAACTTGCCAAGAACTTTTTTCTAACTACAGCACTCAGTTGGTCTAATAAAAGGTGTCATGTCTACCCAAAGAACCTGGGGGACTTGTTAATCAATGAACCAGTTTAACTTGATGTTAAACCCCCCCACCCCAAGAGTTGAAGTATTATTTGCACTCTGGTTGTAACTGAAGCAAAACCAAATACAGCTTCACTGGGATGAATTAAAACTGGTGAACCAGGAGCCAGGTTACCAGGAGCAGCTGGTAGGCAGCAGAAAGGCTGGCTTGCTGAACAGAGCATCAAGATCATTTAAAAAAAGGAGCGCGGATCATTAATGCCCCTGAAATGGAGAGTTCAGGAGTGACGATTCCCCTCTGTCCTGCGCTAGCACAGTCCTGGGTTCAGTTTTGGGCCCCTTGCTGCAGAAAGGATGCGGGTAAACTGGAGAGAGGCTAGTGGAGTGCAGCGAAAATGGTTCAAGGGCTGGGGAACAGGTCTTGTGAGGAGAGGCTGAGGGAACTGGGAATTACTCAGTCTGGAGAAGAGAAGACTGAGGCGGGATTTAATAAGAGCCTTCAACTACCTGAAGGTTCGTTCCAAGGAGGATGGAGCTAAACTGTTCTCTGTGGTGGTAGATGACAGAACAAGGAGCAATGGTCTCCAGCTGGAGCAGGGGAAGTTCAGGTTAGATGTGAGGGAAAACTCTCATGTGGAAGGTGGTGCAGCAGTGGAACAGGTTACCCAGAGAGGCTGTGGAGTTTCCATCTTGGAGGCTTTTAAGACCAAGGTAGACAAAGCCTTGTCTGGGATGATATAGTTGAGGGTGGCCCTGCTTTGATCAGGGGTTTGGCTTGGATGACCTCCTGAGGTCCCTTCCAACCTTAATATGATTCTGTGATCAGGTGGATCATAATGAGCCATGAAGTCCATAAACTCCCTCAGCACTGCCTGACTAGAAATGCTGCTGTCACTGCCTGGCAGTTTGTTTTAAACTTTGGGTGGAGTAGGAATCAAAGTGCGGGTGCAGCTGAACCACTGTATCCCTCATGGATTCACCCTCGTTCTGGACAGACACCAGGTTAATGGGAAGTAATCAAGTCACCTGCTTCCACCAGGTGACTTGATGTGCGGTGGCTGTCCTTGGCATTCCTTCTGGTCCCTGTTGGGCTTGCCCCAAATGGAGCTCAGTGCCTTTTAAAAAGCCCTCCTTCATTTTTATGGTCCCATCTTCCTGGTAGGACTCCAGCTGTGATGTCACTTTATGCTTTGTAAACCTTGTAACTAAGCTATATTTAACTACCATGCCTCTTTTTTTTTGCAGGCTGTGATAAAAGTCCTGTGATGCTGTTCTGAGTGGGTGAAGCAGACAGGGATGAAAAATGCCCAGACAGACAGCAGTGGCAGTCACAGCTGCTGCCTTGTTGGGTATTGCAGCAGGGGGGCTGATTTTGTGGGGGGTCATCCGGCGTCGGAAAGAAAGGACCCACTGCGTCAGTAAACAAGAAGGATCTGCAAGAGAGCCAGGAGATGAGGAACTGACACCAGTGGAAGAAAAGGAGCTGCTTCGCTTCAGCTATCCTGCCATTTCTTGGGTGGAGAAGTTCCTGGAAGCAGAGGTTGTGATCGTTTCGGAGCCAGCGGAGTGGGATGGTGTGGAACCGTTGCTGAAGAAGGAGCTGGAGAAGTGGCCAGTGCTTGGGGTTGACTGTGAGTGGGTGAGTGATAAAGGAAAGCTGTTCTAAGGCAGAGATAGATTGGATGAAGCCTGGCACCTGACCAAAGTCACCTGCTTGTTGGAATAGACACAGCAGCAACTGGACTCTTGAAAATGTGTATATGCATGATGGATTGATATTTATTTATTTATTTAAATTATGGTTATTTTTGTACTGTACTTGAAATTGAATTTGGGTCACCATAGATCTGGAATTATTGGTTCAGCTGTTTGTTAGACTTCATGGATAAATCTGACCGGTTCTATTGGAGGAATTAGAACTGTAGATAAGCATTCTATATAATGTACTTGTATGCTGTTTCTTTCAAGGTGCATCATTGGAATGATATTGGGCCTCATTGAGTTAACTACTTTTAAAGCATCCCCTTATTTTAAGAGTTATGAGTAATTAACAATAAGTTAAGGAGGGAAAACTGTAACTAATATAAAATATTGGGCCTCTCAGGAGGGGAAATTCCCCCACAAGCTTCACAGCAGGTTTTCAAATGGAATGAAGAATAATTCACATGACAAAGTTCTGCTGGCAGAGCTATGCCTACTAGTGGTGTGTAAAGATTACACCCCGTAGTGGATAAAACTCTGTCATTCAGGGGAGTTGGAAAGCTTTGGTGATATTATGACTGGCTGCTGTCAAGCTACATTCATACCAGGGGCCTGGCCACTGTGGTTATAATGGCAGCAGCCCTGTAGGCAGAGCCTGATTCAGAGGTAGGCTTCTGGCTGGACTTCTTGCATACATAAGCTCAGTTAATACATAAAGAAAAGGCACTTAACAAGTAACGCAGGCTGTGAAATAGTCATCCAAGAAAAGTGATAGAAATTGCATTGCTTCAGCCACTTTGTATTGGACCAGAAAATGCTCTAGGGAATGCACTGTTCAGTGTAATGCTACAGTGGTCTGACAAGGTTTGGGCTGAATTAGGTGACAACAGGTCTTTCCCATCTTTAATGTCTGTCTGTGGTTGTGAGTGTGAAGGCTGCTCCGAGGTGCTGTAATTACAGGGTGTCAGAGCAGACTTGATTAACTGACTCTGCTGGAGCATAATTACCATGCTTCAGCAGCCTCTCCCACATCTTGTGTATCAGTGTCCCTGCACTTCAAAATGGCAGCAGGGGTGCTTGAACTAAAGCTCATTGAACAAGCTTTAGTTCAAATGCCCCTATGGCCATTTTGAAGCGTGGGGATGATGATGCATAAGATACTGCAGTGCTTTAATTAAAGTGGTTCTTGGAGCTGCTGTAATTAAAGTGCCCCCCCACTCCACCGCTGGGGCATGTCTAAAATACCCTATGGTTCTGTTCTGGCTTGTTCCAGGCCTGGATACTAGTATTCAACCCCAACTCCTTGTGTTCCAGGTGTCAGTGGAAGGAAAGGCCAATCCCGTATCCCTCTTACAGATGGCTTCCTCCAGTGGCCTTTGCATTCTCATTCGTTTGTCCAGGCTCGTCAACAGTGGACGGACTATCCCAAAGACTTTATTGGACATCTTGGCAGATAGCACCATATTAAAAGTAGGAGTGGGTTGCTGGGAGGATGCCTGCAAGCTACTTCAGGACTATGGCCTTGCAGTCAAAGGGAGCGTGGACCTCCGTTACCTAGCCATGAGACAGAGGTGTGTAACCATGCACAGGAGCAACCTGCTTGTATCATACAACTTGAGTTAGAAATGGTAAAAATGACTTTATTTTGATGAAGGATGCCAGATGGGCAGGTCTGAAGTCCTTGGTGCTTCCTCAGCACAGTTAACAGTGTGGGTAGCAACCATGCAAGTTCCCCTCTAGGTGTCCTTGCAGTGTCTCAGACCTGACCTGGGGGACCAGCTGTACCAGTGAGACAGAAGTAGAGTCCCTGTAGCCCATTCAGGTCAGGTCTGCATTTCAAAGTTTTGCTGACTAGGAACTGTTTTAAAAAATGGCCACTCCTCCTAATTAACATAGCTATGGTGGCAAAACTTCTGGACACAGCTATGCTGACAAAAGAGGGCTGTTGCTGACTCAGCTGATCTCCATTTAGAGAGGTAGGGTAGTGATGGCAGCAGGAAAAAATTCTGCCCCATACACCTTATGTACTCTAGGGAACACTATGCTGGCATAGTTATAGCAATAGAATAATGTAGACAAGTCCTGGGTCCTTGTCTTCTGTGCTGAGGTTGTCAGTAGTTAGTATAGTATAGTGATTGTTTTTGCAACTAGCTCCTAGGATCTCAGTGAATGCTGCCATCTACTTTGTTCAGTGGCTCACAATTTCAGTTTAAATCAGAATTGAATTGCAAGATCACAAAGACCTAATAAGAGGTAGAAGGGAAAGCTCATCTGGTCTCTCTGAACAAAGGGTTGGGCTTAACTGGTTTCTTTCCACCTGTCAGTGTGCACTACTTATTTTTGTCCTCTGAGGCAGAATCTTTCAGTCTGTGGAGCCATTTTAAGTGTTTATGGGTTCCAAAGACTGTGGAGAATGCTGCTTCTGTTACTACCAGCTGAAAAGCCTTCCAGTATTGGTGCATTATCATCTAGCATCCAGGGCTTGAAATGGTGCTGGTGACAGCTTTATCTTTCATATAATCCCAGGTGTGAGGGTGCTAAATAGCAACTTTGCTGTTCTTTTGTCCATACATTAGCAATGAAGAGAGTTGGACAGCTGATGCTGGGTTCCTGTCTCCTCAAGCTAAACCAATGGTTTTCAACCTTTTTACATTCAAGGCACCCCTCAGAAAATGCCTGCTCTGAGATGTCAATATTTATTTATTTATTTATTTTGCTTTTTGACTGTCGGGAAAAATAATACAGGAGTTCTTCTATTGAAGAAAACTCAGAAATATCACAATAGGTCAGAATGTTTTGACGCTATGCATTTCTGTTTGAAATCTCTGGGTTTATCTTGTGAATCATATTTGCACACACAACTGTGCTAATATTCTGCAGCATCTTGTAGCACCTGGGTTGAGAATCGCTGAGTTAAGTATTTGGCTTTCACTTAAAATACCTCTCTTGCTCCTGTCCAGTCTTAAAGATAAGTAGAGTGAGGCCTTATCGCAGATAATGGATAATGTTCAGCAATCAAGTAAGGGTACATGTGCACATTAATTTTGTATTTTTATAATTATGGTTTTGCATACAAATTAGTAGCATTGTTTGGCCACCTTGCAGCACAACAATAGAGGCTGTTCTGGGTGTCAAAGTTGGATTATTACAAGTCCAAATCATATGGTCTAGACAGGTAGGGTGCTTGCTATGTAATGGGTACCGGTATACCACAGTCGCATAGTGGTCTAGTGCTTATATTATGCAAAACAGCTTCAAGAGGAGAGGTTTGAGATCTTATGCTCCAAAATTTATTAGCAAACTAAGAGAGCAAGAGTAGAGGCGCACTGATACATTGGTCTGATATCAGATCAGCATCAGTATAAAGAAAATTAACTGTATTGGAAATCGGCCTGATTTGGCCAATAAATGCCCGTGCATGCATGCAGCCGCAGTGCAGCGTACAGGCAGCTTGGAGAGCTGTGTGCAGCTGGTAAGTCTGTTTTGGAAGGAGAGGGAGGAGGCAAGAGGGGTGGTGGTGTAGATCAATGTCCCCTGCAGTGAGGGAGGGAGTGGGGCAGGGGCTGGGGCTGTGCTCAGAGGGGGCGGCAGTTGCGCTGGGAGGGAGGCTATGGGGGAGGCTGCAGCCACCCCAAATTTTGCTGTAGCCCCCCCCATAGCCGCTGCCCACCCTGAGTGCAGCGCTGGCCCAACCCCCATTTCCCCCATGTGTCGGGAAGAGCCCAGTGCAGCCCTGGCCCTAGCCCACAGCTGTAGCCCACCCTGCCTGCACCCCACACAGATCTGGGGGCACATGTCTCACCCTGTGCTCTTCCAAGGTACGCGCAGCGGCAGGAGCCGCACCCCACTCCCCGCAACCGCTGGACAAGCCGTGGCTCCATCCCACCCTGGCTGGGCAGTACCTGCCTCAGCTCCTGCCCCACTCTCTCCCTTAAGGGGGGGGGTGTTGATCTGCCCCCCACACCCATTCCCTCCCCCCACCCCTTCCACCGCAACAGACTTACCAGCTGGATGCAGCTGTATCAGAAATCGGATCAGTATCAGCTGATATGCCTCCTTAAAAATCAGCCAGCCGTATTGGCCCCCAAAATCTCTATCAGTGCACCCCTAAGCAAAAGCCATGCTAGCTTGGACAATACAATTAATTAGCAAGTGAGCAGGTGTCTTGTTGCTTGTGGTCTCCAACATGGACCTCATCTCATTCTTCATTGTTCACCATGTTTGAACAGAATCCGGACAGGTGAGAAGTTTTGGTTTGCTTTGATGGTTGTCTGTTTACGTTTTTGTTATTAAACTGAAGGAAGGATCTGCTCCAGAATGGACTCAGCCTCAAGTCTCTGTGTGAGAATGTCCTGAACTGCCCCCTTGACAAGTCTCCAAGCCTGCGCTGCAGCAACTGGGAGGTGGAAGAACTGACTCAGTACCAGGTGTGTCTTCTGATTAGTCTTCCTCACAAAAATGCTACATACAATGTTGTAATCAAAGCCTCTAGTTGGACTTGGGAAATGTGAGGTCAGTTCCTAGCTCTGCCACCAACACAGTCTGTGACTTCTATCTCAAATCCCTCTTTTGTTCTCTGTACTGCTACTTCCCTCTTTTTTAATAGGGCTGATTTCCTGTCTCCTAGAGTGGGGGACCAGAATTCAAGGTTTAATGCCTGAGAATCACTAATGCCTCTTCCAATGCCTTTTTCAATGCCAGGAGTGACTGAAGTGCCAAGTATTATTTTATTTCAAGGGAAGCCCCAGAAACTGGTAACTGCTAATCTGCAAGGGTTTTGTGTTCTGTGCATCTCATGGGGCTCAGCAGTCTGGCTCTGAAAGAGCTGAGTGCTCTTGCTTTGATCCAGCCATGCATGTGGGATTTGTATATGACTGCTGGTGCTTGAAGTTAAGCACAAGCTCGAATGCTTTGCTTAGACATAGGCAGACAAGGTTCTTTGGGTAGATGTGATACCTTTTATTAGACCAAGTGAATAATTGGAAAAACATTTCTTTGCAAACTTTTGGGCACAAATGCCCTTCTTCAGGTACAGGGTGAGTTTGCTGGTGTAATATGTGCTCTCTTAGGTAGAATAGAAGCCAAGGTGCAAAATGCAAAATAAACTCTCCCTATGCCTGAAGAAGGGTATGTGCGCCCAAAAGCTTGCAAAGAACAATTCTTCCAACTATTTACTTCGTCTAATAAAATATCATATCATGTGTACCAAAAGAACCCTGCCTGCCTGTGTCCTTAGACAGCTACAACCAACAACCTGAAAGCATGGAAGATACTGAATTTTGCTTAGACATTTCATAGTTGTGGTCTGGTTCTAGGATAGTGCCCCTGATGAGCAGATTATTATTCAGCTCCTTGAGATAAGGGAGCTAACCACATAAAGCTCTGGGTATGCCTTTTGAACACAGCCTGTCAGTAAGTTTCTTTGGTGTGGAGAGGTCTACTGTGTGTGGGTGTGAAAATCTTTCAGGAACCCCACTTGCCTCTTCACTCATCTTCTTTGAAATTATACTATAAACAGCTTGAATGTCAATGGTAGAGTTGGGGTGATGTTGCAGCCATGATGGTCCAGGAAAAATGTGAGGGATGAGGATTTTTGTGGGGGATACCTTTTATTGGACCTAGTGTATAGCTGGGAGGAATATCTTGTGGGTCCAATAAAAGGTATCCACAAAAATCGTTGCTTCTACAAAGTTAGAGACCACTAGGGGGAGGCACAGGATAAATAGCTGTACAGTAGGTTGCTATACTGGCATCAAGTTGTGTAATGAAAGGGAGGCCAGGGACTGTTGCTATAAGTAGGGAGTATTATTATTGTAAGCCCCTCACTTTGCTGCTCAGTGTAAGTGTCTAAGTAGAACAAAGGCTGTTTTGGGCTTTACTACAAATGTTGTTAAAAATTCACCATTTGGGTGAAACTTGACTCAAGTCCACACACGGTGTTTGGCTTGTTGCTGTCTGCTGAACAATAATGTTGTGCTCTTGCTGTTCCCCCGCCAGATCATGTATGCTGCCAAGGATGCCCAGGTCTCAGTAGCTCTGTTTCTCCATCTTCTGGGACTTTCCATCCTCCCTGCTACATTTGAAGGTCAAAATGCTATCACTGCATGGGGGAAGGTGCTGGGTAAGTGCCAGGGATTGATAGACATCCCATTCAGAGGAAGAAGCAGTAGCAGCCTAGGAGATGATGGGAATGGAGAGGCAGACTCCCAGCAGAAACCAAGGAATCGGAAACCTGCAGCCAATGGCCAGTCCATGGTCAATCAGCAAGTGAAAGACCCTCGAAAACAAAAGCGGAAGCCCCTGGGTGTAGGATATTCTGCAAGGTAATTGCATGAGCATTTTATATATATGCACCTCTAGTTGTGTTTGCAGGAAGAAGATTTTTGATGAATACCTGTAGCCTAGGTGTGTCAAACTCATCTGGCCCTACTGGTCAAATGAGCGATGCAAGGCTGGCCTGTGGCCTGGGTCAGCCCAACAAGCCAATGGATCCCAGACTCCCTTCCCTTCACCCCATGTGCTGGATCCAGTGCCTGTGGCACCCACTCCAAGATCCATGTTGCATGGAAAACCCTTGGTAGTTAGGTCAGGACTGCATCACATGTGGTGCCTGCTCCAGCCATGCAGTCCTGGTCCTGGACCAACTGGAGCAGGTGCTATGCATAGTGAGTCTGGGAGCATCCAAGACAGGAACCACATGTGACATGGTTCCTGGAGTGTCCAGAATGGGCACTGTGTGGAAACAGAACATCAAACCTCAACTACCATCCGAGTTCTTGGTTCTTTTGTAGCAGTGGAGTCTGCATGTCCATGTCCAGTTATTTTACTTTATTGCTTTTATTTAAATTTAAATAAAATGCAATGTATATAGATTTAAATAAATTAAAGCAAATTGAGTTAAATCTTGATCTGATCCCAGCATGGGGAGACATGGTACTGATTTTAGGTTTTATTTGGATATGTCAGATTTTATGCATGCAAACATGGGAAGTTAAACATTTTTAGTCACGTGCAGCCAGATGAAAAGTAGATGTTTCACTATTCACTTTCTCCTTTATGATCTTCCTTTAAGCTAGGAAGGAGCCAATTTAGTGGTGACCATAATATTGGCTCCGTTAGTATTCCCTAACAGCTACAACAGAAATTGCCAAATTCTTTTGCACACATATGCATTCTTTTTTTATGGTCACTTCATCGTTTCAGAATCTATGTAGAGCCAGCATCAAATAAATCAAGAAAGATCAGACCCCTAGGAAAAAGTGAATCCTTGCTACAACAGAATTCTGAGCAAATGGAGACACAGCTTCAGGTTTAGTGTGGTTTTTTTTAAAATGAAGAAACCCCTTTAATGAAAGACATTTAAAACTAGATGAGACGATATGTTGGAGGGTATGCTGGAAGGGACTGCTGGGAGGATATGCTAGAACAGGGCTGTCTAGCTGATGTTCCATCGGTCACATCCAGTCCCTGAGGGGTTAACATGTGACTGCTCACACTCCTAGTCCAGGCACTCTTGCCTGGCCACTCCATCTACTGCTGCCACCAGTATCTCTGGGCTCCCCCTCCTTCCTCTGGCTTCTGCTGGAGGTGGGTTGGCCTGTTAACCAATGGGGCACCTGGGGTCTTGGCTCATGGACATTGGCATGGTGCAGCAGAGGCTTGCCTGCTGCATGGCAGGAGGCCCATGTGGCATGGTGCAGTGGAGAGTGCATGCCCACCTCAAAGTGCAGTGTAGTATGTGATCTAGGGGACATGTGGCCTGTGCAGTGGCCCCTGGCTACTCAGAAATTGGACAGCTTTGCTCTAAAAGATGGCATAGGTGTGATTCAAGAGGTCTTTTTTTTCCATTGGCTGTTTCTATGAGAACATTTAAGTTGAAGATCTTCTACTTTAAATTACTGTGACTAAGCTATTACTTCGATCACCATGTATTTACTGGGCAGAGCTAGCTACAAAAATATTCCTTACATTGTTTGCTACCTATTCACTTAAATTGCTGATAATTGCTGATAGGTGCCCTAGAATAGATAAGTCTCCAGCACCCCCCAAGATTTTTATCATTGTGTGCTGGAGGTGGTATTTTTGTCTGGCTACCCAGTACTGTATGCATTATAGTTCATGCAAGAGGTTGTGGCCTAATGCTTGTGGTAGCTGCTGGAGTTCAAATGAAGAAGTTATTGCTGACATAGTCATCCTGACACTAGTGAGAAGAGCTGGGGGGGGAATGGAAAAACTCTATACCATAGTAGTAGTTGCCCTTTCCTGTTCCTCATGGCTCACTCTGCTTTTCCACTACCAGTGAAGATCTAGTAGAGCATCCTTCCTGGCCATCCAGTTTTGTTTCTGGCATACTGTTCAAGTAAAGCTGTTTTCTAAATCTAAAACAAATACCGTCTCTAGTGCTGACAACACCTGACTGCATTCAAGCATAGGTTCCTATTTATCACTGATGAGGTAGAATAGCTTTTTGCATGTCATACAGTAATGCTAGCTCTAAGTTATGAGTTGTTAATTTTTTCTTAACATGCAGCTTCTTTATTTATGAAAACAATTAAATTTGTATCAGAAACTGTTAACACATGAGCCCCAGTTCCAGTAGATCCCATGTCTTTGATGCAGTTTAGCTTAGCCTTCCCTTTTATGTTCCAGTTTCCTGAGGTTTGCTTATTTTTTAACTTTGAAATGTGAGACTTGTTATCGGTAACTAAAGAAACAGTTGGAAATCCCAGCTCCTTGGGTTTTGGCTGTTGTAAGGTAACTGGGAGCTCATATACCCTTCACAGCCAGAGGTTATTCTTTGGACAGTATTTTATTATCCTTGGCAATAGCTGATTTTGCCCATACAGTGCCCAGCCCATAGGTACATATTGCTTAGCAGTTGTATGGAGTGTTTTTATTACTGAGGGTATGCATTTGACTCGAAGGAAGCTGACTGAATGCGATGTGAAATACCTGGTTACAAGAAGCTCCTTTTTGGGGTCCTGTTGCCTATTAATTGTTGACATTGACCTTATTTCACAGAAAATCTCCCCTGTATGACAACTGCTTCTTGCATGCACCGGACGGACAGCCTCTGTGCACTTGCGATCGCAAGAAGGCCCAGTGGTACCTGGACAAGGGCATTGGAGGTACGTATGACAGGCCACATATCAGTATGCATCTGTGAAAGATTTCCACTTTGCCAGGATAGTTAGCTGAGCGATGAAACCTTTAAGTTGGGGTTCAAATGTTGATATCTAGTTATTGGAGATGCTGGGAGAAGGGTTAAACAGGATGTGTCCTCTCACCTACATGTTAATAATCTAGCTTCTACCCATAGTTTTACTTCAACTGTCAAAGACCTGTTTTTTTTCCTCTACCCTTCCAGAGCTGGTGAGTATGGATCCGTTTGTAGTGAAGTTGCAGTTTGAACCATCAGGACGTCCTGAGTCCCAGGTCGATTATTACCTGACAGTCAAGGAGAATCTCTGTGTAGTCTGTGGCAAGAGAGAGTCCTACATCCGGTGAGCTGTGCCATGCAGGGAATAAAAATCCATTGGTAGAGGGAACCCCCCTGATCTAGAAACAGGAACCTAAGCTAGAGGCTAGTGGTTGTAGTTGTTGTGTGTCATGTACAAAACAATCAGGCTTGTGGAAAACAGAAGGTTTGCCTCCTTGGTTTGCTGTAGCCATAAGAAAGCCATGTGATCATGCTGTGTGGCAAGTCTGACACCAGACACATCAGCATTCTCTCCACCAGAGGGCTATAACCAGAAACATACATGCTGTGTAGGCCTGGGAAGACCAGTGATGCACATTACACGCACATCCTTTTAATTTAGTTTTTTTGGTTTTTTTTCCTCTTGTGAGAGTAACCCTACACTATTTTTAAGCCTGTTAACATTTAAATAGCTTGTATGAGCTTGTAGTGGCTGGGTATGGGAGAAAGGTGAGTTTCTATGACTGCTATTGTTTAGCTGAGGGCAGTATCTTCAAGGTTATCTGAAGATAACTGAACAGCTGGTCATCCATTTTATATTGGGACAGCTTTACTTATATTAAGGAGGAATTAAAGCTTTGAAATTCTGAATATTTGAAGAATGTAACAAAAATGATGGGGAGAAGCTTAAAAAGTTCATGTGACAGTTTGGGGTCTCCAGGCTTAGATTCCTTCTGTTGGCAATGGGAAGGGTGCATCCTTGCTTTTGTTTCTTATGGAGGCCTGTATAGTCAGTCTCTCTCTCTCACGTGTGCTCTCAGAGTTTCCCAAGCAGGTGTTCTTATCCTTGCCAATCCCTTAGACAGGCCAGGCAAGAAAAAAGTACTGTTTCTTCCCATTTCAGCTCTCATGTATAGGCTGCTGAAAATGAGCAGTCATCTAACTGAGTATGCTCATTTGTAGTTGCGCAATTGCTTGTAACTTTCTAAAATTTTATTTTATTCTGGAAGCCTCTGGGAAGACTGAGTAACATGCCAAAATTAAAGAAATGTATTTAGCTGCATTGAATCTTTTTTATATTAGAATAAGCACACACATTTCATTTTAAAATCCTTAATCTGCTTTGAAAATGTCCCCTGTAAAAACAGTAAGCTGGGGTGCTTTTCTGACTGTCTCTCAACAGCTGCCAAAGCAAGCTTACCTAGGTTACAGAGGATGTTTTTACTCTCAGCCCACCCTCCATATTGGGATCTGAAAGACAAGCAGGGCTTCTCACATCCCCCATAGCAGGAATTCTTGGAAGCTAGATGTTACTTTTAGCTACAACAGCCAGCTGCCTCTTTGCCTTATTTGAGGATACACAGTTGCATATGAGGGCAGGATTTAGTTTTGCATTTAGACTTTAAAGCCCCAGTCTTGCAAGCACCAAAGCCCCTGTTTATTTACGCATACATAGTCTCTTTGTTAATGAGGCTTCTCCTGTGAGTTTAGATAAGTGCATATGCATTCGTGTGAGAGATATGGTTTGGGATTTCCATTGGGAATTTTGGTGGTGCACAATCCAGAATAGACTCTCATTTGCTCTCTTTTTATCTGTTTTGTCTCCATGGGGCTATCAGCAGTAGAAAGTGAAACATGCTTTACTGTCACTGAAGTCATAAGTTTGGCCTTCAGATGCACACAGAAGTGATATAGTGCCATTTTTATTGATGCTTTTCTGGTGCCCCCCCCCCCCCTTTTTTTTTTAAAGGAATATCTATAAAGTTGTGAGTTGTTTGTTTATTTTTACCATTGCTTGTTCAGAAGGAATCTAAAAGATTGTCCACAAACTTTAAAAATACAGTTTGCTTCTGGGCTGACACCAAATATAGAAAGTCCCAATGCATGTGATGGTTTCCATCGTTAAAATTGTAGAATCATAGAAAATTAGGATTGAAAGGGACCTCAGGAGGTCATCTAGTCCAACTCCCTACTCAAAGCAGGGCCATCCCCAACTAGATCATCCCAGCCAAAGCTTTGTCTAGGCGGGTCTTAAAAAGCTTCATGGATGGAGATTCCACCAGCCCTCTGGGTTTTACTACCCTCCTAATGAGAGTTTTTCCTAATATCTAACCTAAACTTCCCTTGCTGCAACTTGAGACCATTGCTCCTTGTCCTGTCAACTGCCATCACTGAAAACAGTCTAGCTCTATCCTCTTCGTAACCACCCTTCAGATAACTGAATATCAATGTTTAATTTAGGAATTTACAGTAGGTGCTGCCTGGAGCCTCCCTGAAAATGCTACTGTTTCCTTAACAGGAAAAACATTGTACCTCATGAGTACAGGAGACACTTCCCCATCCAAATGAAGGACCACAACTCCCATGATGTGCTGCTGCTTTGTACTTCTTGTCACGCCATCTCCAATTACTATGACAACCATCTCAAGCAGCAACTTGCAGAGGAGTTTGCAGCCCCCATCGGCTGTGAGGAAGGGGTACGCCTCTTGGAGGACCCCCACCGCCGTCAGGTTCGGTCTGGGGCCCGTGCCTTGCTGAATGCGGGCAGCCTGCCTGACTCCAGAAGGGAGGAACTGCTGAAAGGAATCAAAGACTTCTTTGACAGAGAGACCATTACACTGGAGATGCTCCAGGAAGCAGCAGAACTGGAAACCAGGTACAACCAGAGCCCAGTAATGCAAATGTAGCATTTTAGATGCGTGTGCATGTCTATGTATGCTTTAGGTTTAAATGTACAGAAGAAGGGGTATGTGCATTAGGGCATGTAGAGCCTCATATAATTAGTAGGCTAGCACCAAAAGTCAGAGGAACATTTGCAGTGCTAAATAATGAGTATTCTGACTTTCTCCCTTCCCCCCACGCTTCCTCTACTCCCTGCAAAACGCTTTTAAGAATATCCTTGGTTATCTTAATATCTCTTCAGCATCAGTCAACCTGTCAAAAGAATTGGTTTTACTGTTAGGCTAAAAGGCATCTCTGTTCAGGACTGGGAGGAACTAATGTATGCAGAAAGATTGAACATTTAATTGGACAAACATAAGCCCATTAAAATATGTGCATTTATGGTAAGGATGATTTTGGGCTCAGTATTTTTTGCTTGAAAAGAAAGAGAGAAGGTGCCAGCACTATACCATGAAGACATTGACATCTCTGGGGGCTGCCTGCTCTATATTTTCACCCAATACAAGCCTTGCTTTAGCTCTCCCAGCTTTCCATTCTCTTATTGCTAGTGCTGGTCCCATGACCTTCCAACTCCAGCTCTCCTGCTTCCTGCATTACAGGTGGTTTGGTAAGTTGGCTGCTGATACGAGGCAAGAGACAGGTCTGCAGCCTAACCTCTTATTGTTACATACCCCAAAGCACAAGTCACTATGCTTACTTTAGTATATGTCTCGCTACTTGTGACTGCAATACAGATTCTTATCTGGCAAGTTTTGTGGGTAAAGGGTTGACAGTCCACAGACTGGCAGGTTGTCTTGGATCCTCTTAGTTCTCAGATTCCCCCCACCCTCTCCTCATCCAGTCCATACCCCTTATTTATGGAAACATATTCATGCTAGCAAACATCCTGTGTTCAATTTTTTTTTTTGTTTTGCTAAGACTCTAGGAACCAGTTTTTCCATAGTCCTAGGAGGTGTTAATTAGCTGGGATTTGTATTCCTATGAATTTTTACAATTTTTGGAATTCTGATCTTTTCTCCTTCCTTCGGCCTTCTGGCATGTCTCTTACCATCGTCCTGTTCTCCTTTCTTCTTATTTTGCGGTCTTCTTTGACAAGGCTGCCTTTTTTAAATGTGCCTTAGATAAGCTGTGAAAACAGGTATACCTGTTACAGTACTATTGCATCTGGTACATTTGGTTATGTCCATTGCTATTACTCGCATCCTTAAGCGAAATGGTATTTATTTCAAGGCCTTCTGGCTTGCTATTTCCTGGCAGGATTTTCTCACTTAACTGAAATTGCAGATTTTGCCATTTTCCCGTTCTGCCTGACTTAAACATCCTGCTGATACAGCATATGTAATGCAAGATTCACATTGTACTTGGAGTTTTAACATGGCTTCAAGCCTACTGCTTAACTGCATTCCAGCAGCTTTTCCCAGACTCTTAAAAATAGCCCAAATTGATAACGTTCTTCAGGACTCCAATGTAGAGAGAGTTTGGGGTGGGGAGGTGTCCCAGGCACTGCTTTCCCATCATCCTTTTCCACCCTTCCAGCTGAGGAGGGATGTCATTTTAACTGGTTTTGAGCACTACATTTTCCAAACATTCTTACCCAACTTAGATCCTGTGTTCACTTTTAACTTTCTTAAGTGTGCACACAGGGTGCAGGAAGGTTTAATGGTAATTAATAAACCTAATATGATTCTGGAGAGAAATGTATAATTCATTGTCTTTTTTTTCTCATTCCATTGAAAACCAAGTTGTGAGTGTGAATGATTCAGCCCTTTCTGTTCAGTTCTAACTGAACAGATTTTATATCCAAAAATGGAGGCACCAGGCAGCCTTGCTTGTTGCTAGTCCACAGCTAAGTATCTGGTAGCATAGTATGGTCTACTATGGGAAGGATTGCTAGACTGGCAAATTGGCTTTCAGCTTTCATTGCAGCAGTTCTAAAATTTCTCAGCTCCAGGTTAGATTTTGTGTTGTGCTCTCCTCTTTCTGAAAGGATACTTTGATCCCCAAGGAATCCAGACATGACAAAACCAGAACAAAGTTGAATTGCCCCCTGCTTAGTAGAATTATAAACTGTGTTTAATTGTCATATTGCAAACTTGGGACCCCCCAGCTCCACTTCTGCCAAGCAGTTACAATACCCTTACTGTGTCCTTTGTTAGAATAAGGTGGGTAGACAGGTCTTCCACCATTTTGCCTTTTCATCGGCAAAGCTGTATCAGTTTAAGGAGAAGTGGTAACACCATATTTCAGATGTCCTTTACCAGTCCAGGTGTCACCAATATCCTAGCAAACATTGGCAGTGACATTTCAAAACAATGGCTGTCTAAACTTAGGCTCCTAAATCCATATTAAGGCCATCTGTTCAGGTGCCTTATTTGGAAAATTGGGCTACACATTGGGCTGCCCAATTAAGGATATGGGACTTCTTAAAGGAACCCATTTTCCTAAAATTCTGGTCATACGGTCATTTCAGGGATGATTCCCTCAAGTAAAGTTTCCATATCCCTAATAAGGCACCCCAGTGAGTGGCCTGATTTTTCAAATTGGACCTCTTTAGATAGTCCTTTTTTTATATTTTGGTCATCAGTCAGACATTAGTCCTTTTTTCATATTTTTGACATGCTTCATGACATACCACAAAGGGCAAAAGGAGCTCTTCTCAGGTTGGTGGCTTTAGGGCAATGGGTTTATATTTGGAGGGTAATGTTATCTTGAAAAAGGTTTAGTCCCCATTGTGCCCTTGCACTACTGTAGTTGTTTCAGAGTGAAGTTCATGATATTTTCCATTCTGCAAAGAGCACTGGGTAAACTTAAAAACCTCCATCTCTAAGTGACTGAAGATATAGCTGCTAGGCCACATATAGTGTGTTTCCCTGTATGAAGGCATGCATCTGGTCCACACTTCTTTGAAGCTCTTTATTGCAGCTGTTGTGAAGCACTTCTGGAGGATGGGGGCTGTCCTTCTTGGTAACATCTTACATTGCCTCAATGAGGCACGGTCAATGTCAGCTTTGTACTAGTGTCCACAATCAAATGCGAGTCTTTTGGAGGTTAGAGCAAGAGCCCTGGAGTTCTGTTTCCAGTGCTGCCATCGCTTATTGCATAGCTGTTTGATAAGCCTCTTCACATCTGTCATTGACACAATGGGGATGGTATTTCACTATGGCTACCAGTGCTTCTGAGGAGTTGCAGATGTGCCCAGTTCTCTCTACAGAGTGTAGTGGAGCTGTGCAGGGAAGGGAAATGCCCACAGGGATGCTGTAGTAGGATTGGGACCATAGATCACATGTCCCCTGCCTTGAGAAGCTCACAGCTTATATCATCGGATGTTTGTAAACTTTAATTAGTTTACTAATTAATTAGCATTTGCCGAGTGCTCCAGGATCCTCTCATGAATGGTGCAAAGTCTCGTTCTTCATGATAATTAACAAGGCACTTTTAGTTTTGTGGCCGTGCTTCAGGGAGCTGTTTGGAATTAAAGCAAAACTTAAACAAACCCAGCTAAGTCCCTCCCCAGGCTGTGACTCGAATGATGATGTAGTGATCAGCTGGGGTGCCACAGCTAAGCCTTGTATCTGTAAAGCTGCGAGGGTGAGAGAGTGCTCAATAAGCTGCTGTACCTTAAGGAGAGGCCTCAAGTCCAGCAGGCTTTTGTGAAACCTAGCTTCACTCTTGTCTCAGCAGGATTTACAATGAGAACTACGTTCCCCATGGCCTGAAGGTGGTGCAGTGCTTCGCCAAAGGGGGGTTGTGCTCCCTCATGCAGTTGGAGAGGCGTTGGCGTCAGCACTTCCTGGACACCATGCAGCCCAAGCACCTCCCGGTGCGATGGTCAGTGGACCACAATCATGGGAAGCTGATCCGAAAGTATGGGGAGGACCTTCAAATTGAGCTGTCGTGAAACAGTCCCTCCAGAGGACTGAGACCTGGGTCTGACAGCGAAAGCAGCCACTTTAACGTGGAAGAACTATTTTATTTCAGCCTCCACGCGGGAGTTGCAAGTACATGGGCTTGCCATTTCTCAGTGAGAGTCCCGCTGCCAGCAGTGGCTGTTTAGGGACTTAACAATGGAGCTTTTAACTAGATACTGAATTAAATTGCCTGTGATTCCTTACAACCTTATTTTACAGAGGTGGGGCTGGGGGCCCCATCTGACTCTTCACCTCTAGACTGTTTTAACCCAGAAGAAGTATGGGAAAAGGGGATATTGCCACCCTGAGGGGAGACTGCACAGCGTTGATGTTGGCTATCCCTTCAGAGTGGTGTGGTGCTGCTAGGTTCACCTTCATGACCTGGATTCTCAGCCTGAGTTGTGAATTTTTTCGGTTTTGCCAGATGCCAGATATGAACTGATCTCTTCCTTCTCCAGCTGCACCTCTTTACAGACCCACAATTCCCTCTCTCCTGCCCCCATCTCCCTTCCTTGCTTCTGGTGACAGGCACCAGCCTTTCTTGGAGACCTTCCACGAAGAGAGATGCCTTTGTGAACAAGGTGAAGAAGCAGCACTGCTGTCCCATTTTGAGAGCTATGTGCAGCGAGGCCTCCGGTGGCCATCACCTGATAAAACATGACATTGTTTGACACTGGCAGTATGGGAGCACCAATACTTCTTTAAAAAAAAAAAAAAAAGGAGCTGCCAGCAGCACACTGTCTATAGAATTATTACTTTCCAGTACAGTTTTTTCTGTTTAGATACCATGATGTGTAACTTCTGTAGTGAAATGGGGTCAGTTGCCTTGCAATGGATTGGGGGGAGGTTTCTTTAGAGAAGCACCATCTTCTAAAGCATCCCTGCACATGGTAACAACCTGAGTTCTAATCCTGGCTCGACACTTACTTGCTGTGTGGCCTTGAATAGGCTGCATATTTGCTCTGTGCCTCACTTTCCTTGTCTGTAAAATGGGGCTAATAACACTCACCTACCTCACAGGGATGTTGTGAGGCTTATTTGAATTAACATTTGGAAAATGCTTTGTAAATGTTGGCCATTAGATTTGTTAATTTTTAATGTAATTCTACCTATTTAGATTTAGCAGTTGTGTTTCTGCCTGGTGCTAGATTTTAAGTTTACATTTAACTTTTTAAAATAAATAACCTTTCTGTGAAACTGAGTTTGGGGTTGCTCTGCATCTTCCTCATTGTTTTCCTTTACTCGCTGTCATTTCTGGCTCTGCTGCAACTTCTGTTTACAACCCCAGTCATATTTAAATCCAGGGATTTCTAATTGTCTGTCTTAACTCCTTGACATCATCTCTGTCAAGAGAGAGATTTGGCTAGAGAGCAGTTTACAACTTTGAGTCAAGTGTCCTGGCCTACCTAGGGTTTCACCTTCCCACTGAGAATACATTTAGTACATGCCTCCCCTGTAGGAGGGTGGGTCTGGTAGATGGAGCAATGAACTAGGACACAGAAGATCTGGATTCAAATCGTGACTCATCAGATTTCTTGTGTGACCTTAGGCAAGTTACTTATTCTCTCTGTAACTTAGTTTCCTATCTGTGAAATGGATCTAGTATTTGCCTATCTTGCATGAGTTTTGCATGGATGAATAAGCCATTAGTGGGGCTTGGGCACTTTGAGGATAAAGTAGATTAAATTAAAGCAATAGGTCCAATTGTTCAGGGCCAAGAGGAATGACTAAAAAGCTTTATGCCAATGGAAAAGAAGTTTTTTAGTGCAGAGTAATTGGTTCTAGTCCTGATGGGTCATGTGATATCTATTCTTCTACCAGTTATTGGTAGGATAGGCAAATCTGATTTCTGATCAACTCATCCTGTAGTAATTCCAGGAAAAAAAATCCATATTTCATGGGCAGCAGATAATACTTCTGGTGTAGGCTGCTTGAAATACATTGCAGTTGAGGAGATATGGCAAGCTTGTAGTTAATCCCAGGGAGGTGCAATAGTGGGCAGATGGGACATCATTGATGTACCTTTTCACAGGGCTGCAAGTGAAACACTGTCTGTTATGAAGGTGTTGTTATGCCCCCCACCCCCCATCTACAAAGACAAGTCTTAACGAGAAGCACACCCAACGTCCAAATATGTTAATTCCCATGCCCTTTCTCAGATCTGGTTGTAATCTCAATAAGCAACCTCATCTATTGTAACAGCCCAGATTTGGCTTGCCTGTCTGGATCATTTTGAAGGCTTGTTCAGGTTATATTTCCTTATCTCCTATTTCAGTATCCACTGTACCATAATACTCTCAGGTTTTTTAGTGCTTCCTCCTAAGCACAAAACTGCCTTCCCAGAAATCCCCAGTTCAACGCAGCCATCAATATTTTCTCCCTTCTCTTCTAGCACTTGAGCTGCTCTTGCTATTGTAATATTGTCCTGGACAGCCTGAGTTTGATGTAACTGCGGAGTGGGCCGCAGGACTGTTGTGATTTCTACCTCTGTCAGGGTAGCAGAATAGCCTTGAGACAAGAGCAAGCCAAATTGGGACTCCTTAAATGTGGAGAAGATATATATCAAGGAATTTCTAGTTTCTTTCAAACTACTGTCCTGGAAATAGGACTTGAAAGATGGGATTTGTCTCTTCATCTGCCAAAACATTCTCAGTATTGCTATGTCAGAGAATATTGACTCTACCTTGCTTTTTATCAAAAGCATGAAAATTACTTGTCTTTTGACACCTTGCTTTTCCATCTTTCAGGTTTATCCTGATTTGTGTGGAAATATATTCTTTGTATTGTTTTTAAACAGGTTTAAAATACTGTTTTCCTAGAATGTCCCTTTTATAATACCATGAACAAAATAACTGTATTTGAATAATACAAATCTGTCAATTATAGCAGATCAAAAATGTCTGACACCTTTGGAGGAGATTGTAACTTATGGTGTGAGAGCCAGGATGTAAACTCATAACATTGTAGGCCTCCCCAGTCTACAGTGGGTTTCCAGCTGATGTCAGTAGGAGGTTGGCATGTACAGAGACCAAAGTAACCTTTAGGTCGTAACGCATCTCTTAGTTATTTGTTCAGATCCTTTTTGTTCCTGCTCCCCTTCAGGACCAGTACTAATCCAGCCCTTTGTTTCTTTTTTCATGCTCCTTTCACTGTTTTTATCCCTCAGTACTGCCTTTGGAGTCTTCTCTTATCTTTCTGCAATGTTTTCCTTGCAGCAACTCCCAGCTCCTGTGACATGATGGCTTTACACCCACCAGCTTTCCCATTTCACCTTCTAGAAATGACCCCAAATGGAATAGTAAATATTGGTCCTGACACAGCACTTTGAATGACGCTCTGATTAGCCTAAGAGTTGTTACTTCAGGCAGTCTGCAGGCTTACCTTGGTCTCTCTTGGTTCATGTGTGACATCTGTAGCTTAGCTACACAGGCTTTTTTTTAATGAAAATTTAGATTTTGCACACTTTGAAGATCCCATATAAAACATATCTGGTCCCTGGGCCATGTAATTAGACCCCCTGCAGTACATAAATCAAGGATTTCTTTAGAAAAGTTGAAACTTGGGCTAAAGGGCATGAGGAATAATCTTCTCCCTAGGATACTTATTCATTGTCTGCTATGGGTTTCTTACTTTTTTTTGTCTTTAAACCTTGGATCATGATTACATGTGAGGTAAGGAAATGTCCTTATTTATCTATGGGAAACAAGGTCCAACTTCCATTGAAGTTAACAGTTCAGCACAGGAAACCCTGGCCACAATGCTGTTGTGGCTTCAGGGGTCTTCATGGAAACTGGTTGCAGCAACAAGGGCTGGGAAATGGAACCCACTGCGGGCCTGATCCAGCCCACAGGACAGACTTTGTCTGCCCCGCACTAGGCCCTCTTGATTTATGGTCTGCAGTCAGCATCTTGTATATCAATATCCCAGTGATTTGCAGCCAGGGTGCCATGAGATCCTTTGAGGGGCACCATGAAGTGTGAGGAAATGTGCCTGCCTGGCCGATCTGTCATCCCCACTTCCCAGCTCTTCTGCATGGAGGTAAGCACTGTCATATATAAATTAATTATTGAGTTTGGGTGCCCCTTAATTTACAAAAGTTATGAAAGGGTGTCTGGAGTCCATCGAGGGATGCCTTAAGTCCAGAGAGGTTGAGAGCCACTGCATTGTCCTCATCTCCTGCTCTCACTTACTTCCCTATCAGAGAATTGCAGGATTCTCTCTGAGGAAGATGCTGGCAGGATAAGTGAAGGCCTATTCCAAAAGCTTATCTATATGAGCTTTTTGGTGCCTTCAGTAGCCTAGTGGACCTCTATACGCAAAAAGCCAGAGCTTCTATACTAGTCAGAGTCAAGGTTTCTCCCTTACTTTTTCTCCAATCCCACTATCTGGTTAAACTGTTACCATCTAGGTGCTGTCTTGTGTTCCTTTGGAGGCCAGGCAGACTTTGTTTTAGAAATGTTGTTCTCATTTTGCAGGTCACCAGAAAGCCTTAGTGCAGGGATCAGCAACCGTTAAAACTGGTGAGCCATTGCTTCTGACCCAGCCCCTGTCACAGGTCATCAATCCCTTCCTCAGAGTCCCCTTTTCAGAGCATCCCAGCCCTCCCTGTTCTGTGCCAAGAGCTGCTCTCACACCCTCCTCCTGCAGCTTGTGCTTATCCTCCCCACTGAGTGATGCCACTTGCCATCATAAATGATGATGGGGAACAGCAAATTTGGTGGTAAGGGTACGCAGAGGCTGCAGTAGCAGCGTGACAGAGCAGGGAGGGCTGGGGTGGCTACCTGCTAGATGGAGCAAAAGGGGTTTAACAGGAAGGGAATGCACAGCACATGGAGAAGGTGCCCCCCACCACCCTCTTGCTGAGTGTTGTCATGGGCTGTAGGCAGCTCCTTTGCAAGCAGAAGGTTACTGACCCCTGCCTTAGAACAACAACCATTTAATCAGCACTCGGGTGTATAGTGTTCTGGGTTGAGATGAGCTTGAGAGAAAATTCCCAGCTTGAGAGGCAAACTTACTAAATTCTAATTCAGGGCAGAGGAGGTAAAAGCATAAATGATCAAAGTTTATTCAAAGGAAAATGCAAAACCAACAGACATGGAACATAGGTTCCTGTTGTATTCAGCACAAGCACATCTCCACAATCTCACCGTATTAGAACTCCTACGTAAACAGCAGGCTTCTGCAGTAAAGCTTTTCTGTAGCAGGATTATCCATAGTACCCTCAGTCCCTGCTTTAATTATCACTGCACCTATGACTTCCTTAAATTGGCTTGAGTGTGGCTGTGTATGGCCTCACAGAAATTAATCAACAGGAAATAGCTAAAAGTCTGTTTCTTTCTGTGGCTCAAAATAGAGAAGCACTGTTCTTCTTTGCCACCTTTCCCTCAAATTAGGTAAAAACATCTGCCTGTGTGAAGTAGGAAAGAAAAGGATAATCAAACTTAAGACAAGGCTTTCTTTGCATTTGGAGACAGTCTCTTTATGCATGGCTGAGTTATATCCATGTTCATATAATGATGTGGCTTTCTTCTTCCTTTGGGGAAGGGTTAAGGAGATTTTCCAGTGATTAAAAAGGTAGAGGTAGAATAGTTACCGGTTGGTATGTAAATGTGAATTCTGGAAGAGTAGGCAGCGGGTGGATGTGCAGGCTTAGGAGGAAAACCAAGTGACCCATTTCCCTCTAGAAAATCCTGCTGCTCTGAAATGGTAGCCTGTGCGCCAGACCTCTTTGTAGGAATGTCAAACAAATGGGTCTGAGGCTGATTAACAGCATGTGATTTTTATTTGAAAAATGCCATTTTCTTCCTCTGAACAGCTCTGTATCAACTGTTGCCCATCTGTCTCTCCACTTTTTTCTGTGCCTTGACTGTATGCTACACATTATAACAGGAGGTTTTGGGAGCCTGCTTGCCTCCTGCTCTGCCATACAAAGAAGAGTGATTGTGACTGCATTAAACCTGTCTGCAAACCACAGGCAGAGAACCTACGATGTGTGTGGCAGGACTGGGTCATCTTCTCAATTCGCTGTAAACACAGAACACTTACCTTTTACTGATCTCGAAAAAGCTACGGCAGACTAGAATCTAAAATGTTATCTGGTTGCAGTTTTATGTCAAATCATTTCTATTCTGTTTTTCATGTCAACATGCTTTACAGATGTTACACCCCATAATTTTCCTGTGATGCTATTAGTCGCAGCAC